GCTGTGGTGACAGCATTAGTGCACAACCTCAATGTACTCACATACCTTAAGTTCTCACAGGTGTACATGGGCTAATAAAAAGATTAAACAAATATATTGAATGTGATATGTATATGTGATTTGTTATATGGAATAAATTACAGGATTCATGTATTGATGTACTGCTTGGTTAATGCATGATATATTGATAATGATAAATGTATATGTGTGTATTGGTTATATGAAAGGATATATGTTTTTAGTTATATGAACTGTATTACATGAATGATATGATGTTATGTGTATATTGTTATGAAATGATATATGATAGTAGTAATTGTTCATGCATGATTATAAGTTAGAGTTTTTATTATATGTTTTATATGCCTCACTAAGTCTAGAATAGGAAGATTGATAAAAGTTATGCAAGACATGTCAGTTCCTCCTTTCCAAAGATCAGATCAGAAAAGAATTAAATAGTATGTATTTTGTAATAATTATAGTGGTTGGTATGTAAATAAAGATTTGAATTCGATATGCTCTAAATGGTTTGTAAAATCATATGATTGAGTTTTGTAATGTTTTAAATGTGTATATGTAAATGGTAATTTTATACGGATGAAACCTTAAATTTTTATGAATTTATACGTATTTTACGAAAGTTATTGTAGCAGTATTATAGCAAGGTATCGGTACCTATAGCAGGGGTATCGATACCCCTGAAGTAATCTGAAAAAAATTAACATTCGGTACTATTCATGGTACTGTTTATTACTGTTCACGGTACTTTTCATACTGTATAGTACTGTTCATAAATACGTTTTTGCTTTAAAATTTTATAATGGACATAATTCAATAATATATTAACATATTTTCTTAATATAAGTTCAAATGTTTTGCTATCTTAAAAGAATATGGTTTCAAAAAGTCAATGTGACATATCGGACTCGTATTCGGGTCGGATACGGGTTAGAGTGTTACATTTATATTATGAAAAAGTGAGACAAAACATGTTTATAAGTATAACATTGTAGGTTGCACCTTCTTTTAATTAGCAACCGTTAAGATTATTTCATTCAAACCGTTTTTATTATGCAATAGTATGACAAAACAAGTTGATAAGTCTAACATTATAGGTAGCGCCTTTTTAATTGTTAATGTTTACGTTATATGTTTCAAACCTTTTACATTATACGAAAGTAAGACAAAACAAGTTTATAAGTATAACATTATAGGATACACATTTTTTTAATTATCAATCGTTGGGATTATATATTTCAAACTATTTTTACTATGGAATAGTTAGACAAAACGAGTTTATAAGTCTAACATTATAAGTTACGTCTTCTGTAATAATAATTATTTTACTATTTTATGTATCATTTATTTTTAAATTAATAATAATTGTTTCTTCATGGTCCTGGTAATAAATAGAAACAATCCCATTATTTATTGAAATTAAAACTCATGTTGTAACATATTACAAAATAAATTTACTTCATGGTCCTAAAAACAAGAACCATAATAAGTGCAAAGGTTGGCCCTTGGTTGCCAAACTTGGTTGATTGAGTTATGAGGACAATTCTTATCATAATTACATACGATTAGTTTTGGACCGAAATCCTTAATATTGTTGCAACACCCTACAAACTTTCGAATATCTGAACAAATGTCTCTATATTAATTTTCTTATAATTGGTGGGATTGAAAGCTTTCACGATTCGAAGTCCTTCTTCTCTTAAGTCTTCAACCCCAAAACAAAATTGAAACACGCCATAGACATTTATGGCTTTATTATTACTTTTATCGACTGCTTTCTTCAAACAATAATGCAGACTGAACTCCAGGTTTTTTCCATTAAAATAAAGCATATGTGCATGTTCCGTATAATGCTTCAGAATTATTACTAGCTTTGCATCTTTTTTTAAAAACTTATGTTAGTTTGTGTCGATGGAATGATATTGATATTATTCATTGAAACGTTGCGATAGATGTAGTCGTGCTTTGAAGCTTCATGAAAAGTCTTGCAATTCAACCAAATATTAAAGAAATCAATAATAGAATTAGATGCCATATGCATAAGAGTATTTTATAACAATTACTTTGCAATTGATTTCACAATATTACAACATACTTTTTTTGTCATTGTTTTTAAAGAGATAAATACTACAAACCTTAAGCCTAAACTCAAATTTATATTAGTCATCGCACCCTTTCATTGACATCATTTGATTGGGACCTCGCATTTTTTAATTACTATTAATTGAGTTTGAAATGATTTAATGTCTTTGTTTCTGTTGGCCCCAAATCCCAAGTGATGATTCACCCACCATTTCCCCAAAAGTATCGATCTTTTTTTTATCAATGTTTTCAATTTTAAATTAGTGAGGCTTTTGAAATGATTTAATTGAAGCGAGGAAGCTTTTGAAACAATTTAATTTTTAAAATTTCGATCTTTTTATCATCGTTTTCAGTTTTTTAAAGTATCAATCATTAACGTATAAATATTGATATTTTAACTTTCGATCTTATCTTCATTTGTTTCACTATTTCAAAGTATCGATACTATTATAATACATATTGATATTTAATATTTCGATCTTTTATTTAATTTTTTTTGCGCGCAATTGTATTTCTTAAATATATTTATAACATTTTAAGCTTTTTAACTTATTTTGTTACAATTTTTAAAAGTATCGATCATTACAACATATGTATCAATATTCACTTTCGATATTATCTTCAACTTTTTCAATATCTAAAAGTATTAATAATAATATACTCAGTATCGATATTTTAAATTTCAAACTGATTTTTATTTTTTGAGATAAAACCTATTTTATTAATAAAAATATTAACATAACATATTGCAACCGAAATTTCTATTCAAAACCTCGACATTCTTGGGCGCAACCTATTTTATAAAAAATATTAATATTACAGATCACAACATACTTTCATAGTGAATCATAACATTCTTGGGAGTAACCTATTTTATTAATTAAAATATTAACATTACATATCACAACTAATTTCTTAGTGAACCATGACATTATTGGGTGCAACCATATTTATTATATATTTTCATAACTTTTTTCAGCTTTTAACTTATTTTCTTATCGTGGGAAACTCTAAAGCTCCATCAACTTAAACTTTGATAATATTTTAGGCGCAACCCATTTTATTATTAAAAATAGTAAGATTCCAAAATTGCAACATACTTTCTTAGTGAACCATGACATTCTTGGGTGCAATCTATTTTATTAATAAAAATACTAACATTAAAGATCACAACATAATTTTTATTCAACCATGAAATTATTGGGCACAACTGTATTTATTATACATATTCATAACATTTTCAGGTTTTAACTTATTTTCTTATCATGAAAAACTCCAATGCTCCATCAGCTTAAACTTTGATAATATTTTAGGCGCAACCCATTTTATTAATAAAAATAGTAAGATTCCATATTGCAACATGCTTTCTTAGTGAACCAAGAAATTCTTGGGTGCAACCTATTTATTAATAAAAATATTAACATTAAAGATCACAACATATTTCTTATTGAACCATTACATTATTAGAGGTTACTGTATTTATTATACATATTCATAACATTTTCATGTTTTAACTTATTTTCTTATCGTGGGAAACAGCAAGGCTCCATCAACTTAAACTTTGATAATATTTTAGGCGCAACTTATTTTATTATTAAAAATAGTAAGTTTCAAGATTGCAACCTCATTCTTTACTGAAAGAAGACATTATTGGGCGCAACTGTATTTACTATATATGTTCATAACATTTTCAGTATTTAGCTTATTTACATATTGTAGGAAATTAAAAGGCTCCATCAACCTATTTTATTGTTAAAAATATTAAGATTCCATATTACAACTTTCTTCCTTACTGAAACAAGACATTATTGGGCGCAACCGTATTTATTATATGTGTTCATAACATTTTTAGTCTTATACTTATTTTGTTATCGTAGGAAATTAAAAGGCTCCATCAGCTTTAACTCTAATAACATTTTCAACGCAACCTATTATGTTAATTGTATTCATAGCACTTATCGTTTATAATAGAATTTCTTACCTTGTAGAGCATTATGCTAAAACCTATTATGTTACCCCGTCTAATAAGTATTCCGGTTCCAAGTTATAACATTGTCGGTCGCGCTTTTAACCTGTAACCTTTTTTATCGATCATGTCGTTTATTAATTTTATTTTAGGCACCTCACAACAAAACCCTCCCAACAACTTCCTCCTCATTTCCATTTATAATGACTGCCAACACCAAGGAAGCAAACGATCATATATTAACCATGTACTGAGCATTGGCAATATATTACATATATATCATGTATAATATATATTTTTAAAAATATTTTTTATTTTTTATTTTTAGTAATTTATAATTTATTATTTTATAACTTATGATATATATTTAATTTTAAAAAATAATATAATTTTTAGTATTTGAAATATATATATTTAATTTTTTAGTAATTTAATTTAATTTTTAGTATTTTTATATTTATTTTTTAAAATATTTATATTTAAATTTAAGATATTTTTATTTTTTAAAAATAAATAATCCTTTAAACTTAAAAAAATCAATTTAACCCTTAAACAATATTAAAAAAACCAATTTAATCGGTTTATCATGTTAAACTTTATATTTCAGTTTAAAATCAATTAAGTCAATTGATTACTTGTGAGGAGATTAAATTATTGGTTACCACATTATATAAAGAGTAAATCCAAATGATCATCTTTGAAGTCTTTAATAAAATTCAATTTCTTCTTTCATCGCTTTGTTCATAGTATAAGTTTTACATGATCAAAATAAAATAAATTAAAAATAAAAGTGATTATTCATGTAATTTACCTAAAAACAATAAAATAAAAAGTGAGGCGAGAGTTAACTCGCTCGATCTCTCGCGACTATGTATCCATTCTATACGGACCATCGACCGGTTGGACTTAGTTTTGTGTTCTTATTTAAATGCTCTCTTATCTGTTTACTAAACCTAAACCAAATCCATGGACGACATTTTTCCGACGATTCGTCACACTCAGAAGCGCCAATCCGAAAACTGCTCCGATGTTGATGAAGAGGTAAGCGATTTCATTTCTCTATGCTTTAATCCCGTAGATTCTTTCTTACTTGACTTGTTTATTACAGATGAATTCAATTTTGTACCTTTCTCTGTTTACCTTTTGATGGATCTTCTAAACAACTATCTTCTATATTTTTCATATAACCAGTATCATGATCTGATAGATCATATACTGTTGCCCAACTGGGTTCAGGACCTAAATCAACCTGGGATAAGCAGTGATTTTGCGCCAGGGCAGATCAGTAATGTTAGCACACCCCAAACGTTTCAATCTCCAAACTTTTCCAATGGTTCGGTTTTGAAACGCAACGTTTCAAACTTATCTGGACCAGAACGAGCTATGAGGAAAAGGAGAATTGATCAGGCGTATCGGGAAAGATGCAGGGTGAGTTTACTTTCTCTTCTGATCTCATTTATCTTGTAAGATTTGGGTCCTGCGCTGGTACGGAAGTAAGATTTTATGCTAGGGGACGAAATTATAAAATTTTAGTGAGGCGGAAACAGATTATCAATATAAAAGAAAAAGAAAAAAAAAACTAAATTATAGGAGAATTTGAAATCTTAAGGTGGCGGCACCATCCCTGGACCTGCCTTGAGTGAAAAGGGATAAAATTTCTTGCACTTTTACTTCTTTCTTTATGCTGAAAATAGAATATAAACTAGGCAAAATATGAACTTATTACTAATTAACTACTTTTCATTTGTATGAAAGTTATCTTTGATTTCACTAATCTATAAATGCAAATAGACAGGTCTAAATGGTCGTATGCAATTCCAAAATATTTTCTAAAAGAAAATATAACTATTAATTAAATTGAGTCCAGCAATAAATATTCTAGTTGATCTCATTCTGTTTTCGCCTTTGCATTCTGTTTTGATCTTTCAAAGTAGGTCAAGAGAGAAGCTTTAGAGTTTAAATTGAGTGAGAGATTAAAAAGGAAATTCTAAAGATAAATTTCAATGTACTGAATGATTTAATATCACTTCTGATTATGAAGGATTAGGGAGTTAGGGCGGGTAGTTTGAGTTACGTATGATATGTTATTTTCCTTTGTTTCTACACAGAATCTCAAAACAGAAATGCAATCGAATATGGAGAACCTTAAAGGAGAAAATGATTCTTTAAAGATAGAGAATGAATCCTTGAAAGAAGCTAATTCTTTGATGAATCAAACTTTGAGAGATCAAGAATATGAGATTGAGAAGTTGAGGAGTGATTTTGTTCAGATTAAGCGCGAGTATGAGCAGCAAAATGTTCTTGTGCAAACTCTTTCAGGGCTTTTAGTAAGTCTCCACTTTCTTATACTCTCAGTATATATGTCAAATGTTTTTTCCATTCCGCTTGAAGAAAATAACGGTTATATTATGCATTTCTTTTAATAGTGAGAACAAATATCTAGATAGCATGTGGTAGAGGTTCAAGCCTTTGTAGTACTTGTCTTCCATGTATTAGCCATTTTGCATTGATTTCATTTTTATTGAAATATTTATGTTTAACACATATCTAGATATCATGTGGTAGAGGTTCAGCTCTTTTAAGTTTATGAACAAAGTTGGAAAGAATAGAATGTATCTCTGTTGAAATATTTTTATTTGACACTTGCTCTTAAATCTAAGAAGTACAGGGTACTTGTGATATTAGAATAATAGTTTGAGTTTGAGTATTTACTAGTGATTTTGGAATAACGTTTTAACTTTAAATTTGAGTATTTATACTATTTATAATGTCTTAGACTGAATTTAGTGTCGCGAATCAGGTGGCATCAGCTAATCTAATTCATAATTTTACTAATTAATCAAATAAATTTATTTAGATTTGATACATAAATTCTCCTTTTCAAATTAGAAGAGTAAAAAACCACTCCTCTGATATTTTAGTTTCTAGTTTTTTTAACTAATTTTTTTAAACAAGACATTGATTTTTTTTATTGCTGAAAAATTGAGCTTTTTTGTAATGGAGCCACTCACTTCCTGTGCAATTTTTTCTCACATGCCAGCTGCCCCAAGATCTTGTATTTATTAATGATGGTTACTATATGAGTGTAATTAAGAATGTATATTGATTTATGTTGTTTCCTAGGTTAGTTAAGCTAGTCTGACTAATCAAGTTTTTAGAATTTGCACGGTATGAGAAAGAAAATGGAAATGTAGATGCTAAAACATAGATTCACATGATAAATTGTAGTAACAAGCATAACTTGTAGACATGGAAGTGTTGGAACAATGGTACCACTCGACCTGAATTTGGCCTAAAGCATCCCAACTTTGTGCAGATTTGGATCACAATGGTGTATAACTAAAACAATTAGTTAATAAGCAGATGTAAAATTGAAAACATTTATTTAGATAATTAGTTTAAGATCTATGTGCTCTTTGAAGCTGGTACTCATTAGCAATTGAATCCCTTGACGATCTCTACACATCATAGCCTCTTGAAGAGCTTGTCTCCAAACAAGCAAATCTAAGTTCTTTGCCTCTACTGGTGATTAACACAAATGGAAGTCGATACCTTCTCTAGGTTAGACTATTGTTTACTTTTGTTTGGCCAAGTGGTTTAAGCAAATAGTTGTGGCTTAAGAAAACAAAATCTAATTTGGAGAAACTCAAGGAAACTTGGCTGAGTGGTTTATGTTTCTTATCTTAGGTATCAAAATTGCACAAGAAAACATAGAGGGGACTAAGTTTTTCTTGAAAAGAAATTAAACATGAAGTACAACTCGTTCTTTTTCAAAGATCGAATGGAATGCTCAGGATTTGCTTGAATATTACAAAGCTTGGTCAGCCACCTATTTTTAGTAGAGGATTTGGGGGAGTCACAATTGATTTGGAATTCCTACTTGAAGAACTCATATTCTTCAAGTCCCAAATGTTCAATTCAGCTCAATTCCTTAGGCAACAAGCTTAGGTCATAGGGTTTAGGGTTTTATAGTCTTATTGTAGTTTTAAACTTTTAAAAATTGGATCTTTTATTCAATTAAGTCTTACTTAGTTGAATCTTAACTTAAATTCAACCCATCATTCTGATGAGTATGACTTATTAAGTTCCCACTAAATTGACAATAAGCATGTTATAGTTAACTCAAAAGTCTTGATCTTATGCGCATAGATTATGAGCAAGATCTTGCAATCCACCATGATGATGAACAATATTTTAGCCATAGTGACCTTGAAGAAACCTTTTACTGATAAATCTCTCCTGTTAATTCAATCCTTTCACCTAATCTCGTGGATAATGATTGAGCATGGTACAATGTCTACTCACCATCGATCTATTTTAGCTTTTTTTTTTTTTAACTTAACTACATGAATTTAGAGAAATTATTTCTCTTCCATTCATCATGCTTTGGCTAAGTACTTTCCTTTAATCTGAACAAAGAACATTTTGGGATATGGTTTTTGACTCACTTGAAGTGGTAAATATTCTCTGGATCACTCAATTATTTTAACATTTTTCTGGGCACTCCAAAGTAGTCCTACCATTGGCATCCTTATCTAGGACCTATTCATGAGAAATCAAGGCATCTTAATTGACTGTACAAGATAAGTTAGCGTGACAAGTTACTTCGATCTTGTATTTTGGTTTGATAATTTAACTTATCAAACAGAGACTACAACCTTTCAGCTCCTTAAAGGGAGCTCAAAATCTTACGACTTGTTAAAAAAGAGACCTAAATCTTTTTAGGAGTTTGATAAGAATTCTGACTTAATTTTTTTGTTTGTCAATGAGCCTCTTAACATAGATGTTATATACTTATATAGGTTTACTTGTTTGAATTGTCAATGAGCCTCTTAACATAGATGTTATATACTTATATAGGTTTACTTGTTTGAATTGTCAATGAGCCTCTTAACATATATGTTATATAGGTTTACTTGTTTGAATAAAACACTTAAACTAAGGAAATTGAAAACAAAGAATTTAAATAAAGATGCCTCATGCCATAAATATACTTTCAAATAAGGATCTCCTAATACCATAAAAATAATTGCAAAAGTAAGCCTAATAATATTTTCTTTCTAAAACTAATATTGCCTACAATAGCAACTCGTAACACAAGTCAACTGACCACTTGCATGGCTACCATTGGAGAAAATTTTCATAGACACTTGAATGATCATACCAAATGGAGTTCTTATGCTGTCCATCTTTATGACTTGCATCCCCAAAAAAGCACGTACATGGTATCCCAAGTATCTCATTTGCTTCATTCTATGAGCATGACAACTGACTTCCATAAGAATTAATATGTACTAGTCTCTATGCATTGCTGGTGCATGCTGGCCGTGGTCAATGGACTTGTTTCCTTAACAAATATTGCATATCATTCCAAGTATCTTACCTCAAGCTATGAGATCAATTGCTTACTTCCATAATACTTACGTAAGAAGGCTTAGCATGTATTAGTTTGCATGATTCTCAATGCCTTGTCTCAACAATACTTCAAATAGGGACATCTTAGAAACATAGCTTTGATGCATGAGGGTTTTATAGTTTTTTTTTATAGAAGATGAGGCCTCGTAAAAACCCCCTTTTTTTTACCCTCCATGTTATGAAAGTAACATGAAGGGCATTGAAAGGAGGAAAAGAGCGCCTATAATTATATTAAACAGAAGAATAGTACATAGCCAACCCTTACAACAAACAAAACTTCCCAAAAAGCATAAGACTTAAAAACCACTATCAGCAGGACATCGTAGTCACTAATAACATAAGACTGAGAACCAAAATCTGCAGTAACAAAGTGAAACATACACACCAACTCCCCAAATACTAAGACAGCAAATCAACCTATACCATCTTTAGCTAATCTGTCCGCTTCCCAATTAGCAGCCCTCAAGATAAGCCTTAACGTAATGTCCAACCCTTCCATAGTAGAAACTATCTCCTTCACCAATGATTGGAATAAAGGGGTGCTTAATTCCGGATTTTTGATCCACTTCAGCGCGTTGGAAGAATCTGATTCTAAAATAATCCTCTGATTACGAACCCCACCTGAATCAATAAGCAAACCCAACCCCCTCTTAATCGCCAGAAGTTCTGCCATAATCGGGGGACCTCCCCCAACATTTTCAGCAAACCAATGAATCAACTTACCACTGCTGTCCCTAATCAGGCCTCCTATACCTCCTTTGTTCCACCCCTTCACCATTGCTCCATCAACATTAATCTTTATGAACCCAACTGGAGGAGGAACCCAGCACGAAGGCTTGGATCTTACTTTGTGACTGACCATTGAATCAGCAAGTGTTAGATCACCCACCAGGGAATCGAAAGGAATCTGCGAATCAAAACTAGCAGCAAACCAAGAAACTATTCTAAACCGAGCAATAAAGAACAACACCATATCCAACTTCCCTTTCTTAAAAATAACTTCATTCCTAATTTTCCAAACCGTCCACAAGACTGCCCTTGGAATGTATTTCCAAATAATAGAATTCGGAAGAAGCTCGTCCCACTGTGTGATGCAATCTAAAGGTTTATTAGGAATCACCCAATCAACATTCCACAAATTCAAAAATCTGACCCACAGTCCCCAAGCAACCTCACAATGCAGAAAAAGATGGGAAACAGATTCACCAAATCTGCCACACAACGGACATAAGGAATCTTCAATTTCAGCCACTCCACGCTTTAACAATTCCTCCTTAACCGCCACTCTCAGATGAACTACTTGCCATAAAAAGGTTTCAACACGGGGATGTGCTATCCCTACCCAAACATTTCTGTCCCAAAAATCCTGATTCCCCTCAATACCATCCGAGTCAAAGAAACTCTTGATACATGAATTAGTAGAGAAGCAGCCCTCTCCATTCCCAAACCAAATCCAACCATCTTCCTCATCATGCGACAAAGAGGTGTTATTCACCAAAGATATCAGATGCAACCATTGATCAACCTCCCAATCCACCAGATTTCTTCTGAATTGAATATCCCACACCCAGCCTGCAGCATGACTCTCCCTAAATTCCACTACTTTCCCCTCTTTATTCGTCGAGAGAGTGTACAATCTAGGGAACAAATCTTTGAGGGGGACCTCTCCCAACCAAGCATCATTCCAAAATACCACAGAATGGCCATTTCCAGTTTTCCACCTCAAATTACTCCTAATGCAGACACCAAATCCATCATTGGAAAAGAAGTTATTGATCACTCCTCTCCAAATCCAAGAGGCACGAGCAGTCAAAGAACTCTCAACCTTTTTGGAGTTCGGGTCCAAATTATTAACACAACAGACTACTCTCTTCCACCAAGAATCCTTTTCAGAGGCAAACTTCCAAACCCA